AGGATGGCCAACCCTTCGACAGCTGTGGAGAGGAAGTGCAGTAGGGTATAAATCCATGGACTTAACTGCAGAAGGAGCAGGACTTAGATCATTGTCAGTGAACTATGGGCACAATAGACTTCTTGTGTCCAGGAGAGGCGTGTGTAGTGGTCATATAGTGATAACATACAGTCTGCCACATTCTTGTACATTCACTCAGGGAACAAAAGATTGCTGAAATCTCTTCAAAGGGAACAATCTGAGAAAGCATCTCCATGTTTGGAGATGATGTCTTGTGGGTGGTGTTCTGGGAAAGACTCTCACTATGCCACCATCTGTAATGAAAAACACAGAAATGCAGTACAAGGTCCCTTGCAGTGTTTCTGCGCTTTTTCTAGCTGAAACTTCTTAGCTGTGTAGGACAAAAATGGAGTCAAACAAAAGCACCCCCCTAAGAACAAAGGACCCAAAAAAGCATGACCTGTTTGGGAGGAAATCCTGCCTTTCCACCTTCATGCAGCTGCAGGTGGCAAATTGCCAGCCTCTTCTAAATATGACTCTTAGACCTGAGGCTAAGTGATATGCTTTCTGTCCATACTATTATTATTATTTTAGAGTGGTTGAGGCTCCAAGAGGAGGGTGATTTGAACATCTGAAGCTGCAGTAAAATTCCAGTACACAAACCTAGAGAGACAGGTCTGACGTCCTCTGTAACAGCCTATGTAAATGCTGGGTCTTTCCTTCTCTCCTGCCAGGCTTTTGCTTTGGTATCCTCTCCATAAAAGTCACCAATTAACATCATTTCATAGTGATGATGTTAATTGATAGGTCTATGAACTTCACTTCTACCAGTCCTCAAACCTAACTTTCTTACAAAGCATCTTCCTATTAAAATATTGTTCAACTCTCCATTAAAATAAAAAGGCAATCTCAAGTCTCATCTCGATTCCTTTTATTTTTTTCTGAATCACTGTTGTCTTAGAGGATTATGTCAAAAGCAGTATTGAAGTGTCACATTTACAGCTTTATCTCACCCTTCCAAATCTGCTTTAGATTTTGCTTGGAGAGATCAGAGAATTACAGTCAGATGCTGTTCCCCTGTCTGTATTTACAGCCATTTCCACTGATGCTAGTGTCAACTGACTGACAACACTTGTAGACCATTCCCTTGAATAAACTGACATAGTAAGTAAAGGACTGCTGAGATGACTTCTGAATGAAAAATTGGTGGGCAATCATAAGACTGTTAATTTTTATAGATACACTTAGCCTGTCTTGCTCTTACATAACTGCCTCACACTTAGTTATGGCTGCATCTGTCTCCAGACGCTGAGTCCTTCACCTTTATTGCCATACTGGTGAATCTCTTGTCCAAGATGCTGTGGTTTGCTTTATTGTAGTACCACTGGCATGTGTGCTTTGGTAGCAGATTTGTGATAGGAGATTGCTTTTTTTTTTTTTTATTGTTTCTTTTTCAGTACCAATTGTTGCAACCAATCCTTTTTCTCTCATTTAGGTGGCTATCACAGCACTGTAGTTGAACAGGGAGGGAAGGAGCCCCCAGTAGAGGACCCACGCAGGCTTTTACAACACTTGAGTTTCACAGCTCTCAGAATACTCCCAGTTCCACAGTCTGATCCTGGAGAAGGCTGCAGTGAGCCTGGACTGTTGGAGAGGTCTTGCAGTAAAGTTATACAGGAGCTCTACTTTCCTCTCCCAAACCTGCTCCAAGGAATGGGGTGGAAGAAAGACGGCCAGCGTACCTGTATGTCCTCTCTTCAAGTACAGGCTTACACTGTTGTTAAGTTCAATAAAGCAGCTATGTTTTCAAGGTGTTTCTCTTTAGTAAAACACCAAAACAATTCACTGGAAAAAAAATAATAATTAAATAAATCTACTTCCATTGTAAGGCTTCTTTTTTTTCAGCAGTTATTCAGATTAATCTTCAGCTGCCTGTTTAAAGAGTATCTCTTGGGCTTAAATACAGTAGGGATCCAGGAATTACATGTCTCAGACTTATTGTTAGTAAATGTAAATCAGTTTCAATTTATTTGTTGTTTAGAAGAAGAAGCGGGGTGTTCTTGTTGCGATGTGGTTCAGTTTCAAGAAATGTCAGTAAAGTAGATGAATAATGTAAGTGTGCAGAATCAAATGAATCATTTTTTTTGGTTTCGTTAGTTTTATTAGCTGGTAGTTGCTCATTACATAGAAGGCAAATATTGGTATTGCATATTTTGACTCTTCATCAGCAAGGACCACCAATACCTGTATCCATAGCACCTGATCTTCTTGCTCAACTATGGCTGAAATGTGAAGTACATGCTGACGTTTGAAGGCCAAATGGGAGCAAGCTTCCTGAGCTTCATCTCAAACATGCAGACTCAGTCCCAGGAAACACCCCACAGGTGGCAGCAGTCTGGCTCGAGTCGTAATGCGGGTTTGATAAAATTCCAACGCAGATGCTTTCAGGCTGACCTGGAACTCATTGCTGTGCTTGGGAGCTCAGCTGGACATGTAGCCAATTGCTTTGCGTAGCCTTCAGGTTGGCTTTGGGAGGCTTTGCTTCAAAGTCTTGCCAAAAGCCGGCGTTCGAAGCAACTTAGAGCACGCTGAGGCGGCGGGGCTGCGGCTCGCGGTGCCGCTTCTATGGCTGCCAAGTTCCACTGCTGAAACTATACTTTTTTATCAGGTCCTGTTTGCGTCTGGCAAAGATCTGTAGACACAACATCATTAACAGCAGTGCATATTTTCACAAGATTTACCTCTTCAACACTTTTTCCAAGTTAGTAAATCATAGCTTCTTTAATGTCCTGCTGGCTGCGTGAAAAACAGGAATTTATGTAACAAGCTCTGGTTTGCAAACCTTTTCCTGTTAGGAAAATTTTTTTTTTTTCATTGTTGGCAGCGTTAGGAGACAGCTCTGTTACTCAAAGAGTGACCTCAGATGTCCTCAGTGCAATAATACCAGATTATAATATTTTTGATGACTAAGGAATAGCAGTAATTTCTTAAATATTTAACGCTTCTCTTGCGGAAAAAAGAGAGTTGAGCACGAGCAGAAGATTTTCACTGCCTGATGTTTTGCATGCCTTATATGCTTATTTTCATAGTAAACACTCAGCCTAAGCCAACTGGGTATGTTTACAAAATACAATAAAAAACTGAACTGGCGCAGGAGGTTTTTTAATCAACAGACGTGCAGAACAACTTTCTTGCGACATTGCTAACTCTGGAATTGTGTCAGCCTTTAATTCCGCTTTGGCCCTACAGTGAAAACAAAGGGCTGGCAGGGCCAGCTCCCTGCACTCCTCAGCCCTTCCAACCACAGCCACGGGCAAGTCCAGGGAAAGATCTTTGGGCTTACCCTCCTGACACGATGCTAACACTGCATTACTATGATGTCAGGTCGGACGGGGGAGAGCAGATGCTTGCCTTGAGCCCCAGAAGGCACTGAGCACCACAGGCCTAAAGCTATGCAGAGGGGAATTCCACATGATGATATTTTTATGGGGCTGCATGTGGTGAAAATAACATTTCGAGGCTTTGTCACTGGATAGGAGATGAGATTTTGATTGCAAAGTTACTGCAGTGAAGAGATATAGTCCTATTGCAATTAGGTAATGTCATAAAGATGGGCTTCCTTTCAAAACTGAATAAGGAAATGCTGAAATTGTTGCTGGTGTTGATCTAACTGGGATGATTTATTAAATGGGATGGTTCTCTGGATGGGAAGAAGAGGTTGGAAAGGCTTCTGAAGTTAGTCAGACGTTTTGACTAGCAATTGGGCTGGCTGAACCGTGAGCTACATGATGATGTCTTCTGCCATCTTCTGCTGTCCAGGGGCACTTAGTGACCCGTCTGGTGTGAGGCTGTGCTCCTGTGGGGACATCCTCAGGGTGCTGCAGTCTATAAGGTGTGAACAGTCTCTGGTCCAGGACTATTTGCTGTTCTAATCTGCTGAAGATTAGCCCTAGAGTAACCATTCCTGTTGGGCTCTTCAGGTGGCCAGGCCTGCTTTTGTCAACTGGCTTTCCACAATCCACACTGTGCCATGGCTGTAGCAGAAAATTGGAGCCTCTGATCTCTGATTTTTGAGCAAGATGACTTTTTCCACCTGACGTGGCTCCCTATGACTGTTGATGCTTTTCTTTTATCAGATGGATATATTGGGAATGGGGCAACATGTGCATATTGGCAGTAGCTTTGAGAAACTGGATGTGTGTGGGAGGACAGTTAGGATCTAAGAGGTGAAGGAAGACCAACTTGGTATTACAAGTCACTTGTTAGCTTGTCAAACTGTAGGTTTAGATTCTTAAATTTTTTTTTTTTTTTTTTTTTTTTTTTTTTCTGATGAGGCATAGCTGGTGTCTGAGGAGATAATGAAAAGCTTCAGTATCCCCTGGTCAGTCTTGGCACAAGATGTCTTGTGCCCTCAGGTATTGCATGAGTCAATGTTGCATATTAAAATGTTGATTTTGAAAGAGAAAGATGGTTTTAAGACTAACATTTTAAATGCAAGTTTGTCTGTGCTATTTGCATTCCTTTCTCCCTTGTGATTTCTTAGGTGTTTAGTTATATTTATATACAAAAACTCAATCCTTGGTTTTCTTTGTGTTTTTGCTTTTGACAGAAGTCATTTGAACTTCACTAACGTTCAGAGATACACATGCTGGCATATTTGTAGGGTTTAGAGAAATGTGTGATGAGATCCCATTACAAGGACCATAAAACAAGATCTAATATTTCTCAACTTTGCATGAAAGAAATCCCTGAAAGCCTTCAGGTTCAACTCATTAGACTGAAGCTGATAATAGGACCTTCAGTGGGCTTTTTGGTCTTCTGATATATTTTGCTTCCTAAATCTTGAACATACTGAGCATCTCCTTTTATATAGCTGAATGTTATGCTGGGAACCACAGGTATGAATATAGCACTTGAAAACTAAGCTGTATGTAAGAGGTCTCTCTTTGAGTGCTATCACAAATGCAACCTGTGTTCTTACACCTTATTTTGTTTTTCAGAATTCAATCCGTCACAACTTGTCCCTGCACAGCAAATTCATCAGAGTGCAGAATGAGGGAACAGGGAAGAGTTCCTGGTGGATGCTCAATCCTGAAGGAGGAAAGAGTGGCAAGTCTCCTAGGAGGCGAGCAGCATCCATGGATAACAACAGCAAGTTTGCAAAAAGCAGAGGCAGAGCAGCCAAGAAAAAAGCATCTCTTCAATCTGGTCAGGAGGGAAACGGTGACAGCCCTGGATCTCAGTTCTCGAAGTGGCCTGCAAGCCCCAGCTCTCACAGTAATGATGACTTTGATAACTGGAGTACATTTCGACCTAGAACTAGCTCTAATGCTAGTACAATAAGTGGAAGACTTTCTCCTATTTTGCCAGAGCAAGATGACCTTGGAGATGGAGATGTGCACTCCATGGTGTACCCATCATCAGCCACCAAAATGACTTCTACTCTACCCAGCCTTTCAGAGATGAGTAGTTCAGAGAACATGGAAAATCTTTTGGATAACCTTAATCTTTTGTCACCTAATACGTCAATGACTGTATCAACCCAGTCGTCATCTGCTACACTGATGCAGCAAACACCAGGTTACTCATTTGCATCTTCGACCACAAGTATATGTTCACCAAATCCAGACTACAGGAAATTTACATATGCTCAAGCTAGCATGAACTCTTTGCCCCAAATTCCTATGCAGACTCTTCAAGACAGTAAATCAAGCTATGGATCGATGAGCCAATTTAACTGTCCTGCAGGACTTCTGAAGGAGTTACTCACTTCTGATTCTCCTCCGCACAACGATATCTTGGCATCAGTAGACACTGGTGTTTCCCAGGCTGGTGGCAGGGCGCTGGGCCAAGGTGTACTGATGGTCACTAATTCGGTGATGCCAACTTACGGCAATCAGCCACCTCACAACAAAATGATGAACCCTAACGCCCGCCCTCACCAAGGACATAACCAGCCAACACCTGCAGTTAATGGCCGTGCCTTGTCACACACAGTGAACCCCATGTCACATACTTCAGGTCTAAATCGCTTGTCGACAGTGAAGACTTCGTTACAAGTGCCTATGAGTCACCAGATGCAGATGAATGCTATGAACCCATATGCCCCTGTTAACAGTTGCAACGGCTACGGAAGGGTGGGAATTGTTTCCCTCCACCAGGAGAAGCTTCCCAGTGACTTAGATGACATGTTAATTGAACGGTTGGACTGTGACATGGAGTCGATTATTCGTAATGACCTTATGGATGGAGAAACGTTAGATTTTAACTTTGACAGTGTATTGCCTAACCAAAGTTTTCAGCACAGCGTAAAGACAACCACACACAGTTGGGTGTCAGGATAGGATGTAGTAGGAGGTAAGCTGTGCTTTTTATAATAAATCTGAAAAACAGCTTAAAGGGAAGACAGATGTCAAATGCTTAAAACCTGGGCGATCGCTTTTGTTGGCACATGAAGTGCCTCTGTTCCAGTCAGTGGTTTTTTCAGTTCTTTATTAGTTTGTAAATCAGGTTTGCACTGGTGCACTGAGATCGCCGTGTACCTCCTTCTCCTACTTCATTTGGAGTGCTAATATTTTGCCGTTAATATTTTGAACCAAAAAATTTCTGGTAACCAATAATTAATGAAAATGTTTTTCCCCATTTAATTTATTTTAAAGCTAGTTTGAACGTATTTTAATAGACTTCATCTTTTGGTGTGAATGTTAATTTGTTGTTATTGTTGTTGTTTTTTTTTTTTTCCCTAGGCTACGGTTAAATTCTCCAGACTTGTCTGACAGCAGGAACTGAGAAAAGCAGTACAAAGATGTCCTTCACCTTCCTTTTTAATTTTCTTGACAAAGCTGTGCGCGTACACTAGCTTTTTTTGGGGTCTTTTTTTTTTCTTTTCTTCTTCCTTTCGTCAGAGTTGGCAGCAGACTGATTATTTTCCTGTACAGGATGTTTGCCCAAGGTTTGCAGGTTATGTGCTGCTGTAGATAAGAACTGTGCCATTGGAAATTTCATTACTCTGAAGTGCCAAATCCACTACACCATATAATCACAGCAAAGACTCTTACTTACATCATGTCGTGCTTTCGGTTTTGTACAGTATGATCTGTAGAAGAATTGTTTTTTAAGACTATCTGTTTTGGTCCAAGAAAAGTTTATAAACTTTTGTAAGAATACTGTGATGATCTCATGCCCTACGTAAGTTTAACCTTCATTGATGTTACCTGTGTTCTGATGATTTGAGATAACTGTGGACTTGCCTTGCAGCAGTACGAACTGCTTCATTCTACTTAAAATTGTCACACATTTCATATGGGAACAGAGTAGCCGGTTTATATGATCCTACTAAACTCTCACTATTCAAAGCAAACAGTAGGTTAAATGCCATTTGATAAGTTACCTGTATTCATGTAAATTTATGCAAGAATATATCTGGATTTCATTGTCAGACTAATGACTTTGTTGTTGGACTTAAGATAATTTTTGGAATACTTTCCAAGCTATTTTTCTTATAATTAAAATCTACTTTTGTTACATAGGCAACTTGAAAAATAATTCTGAGATCTGGCAGCATTCATAACCTCTTCATTTTGTACAGTATTTTAACTGGATTAAGTACTTGTTTTTATAAATTTCCCTAGCACTTGGGAGTGCTAATAAAGGAAAAGCTTAATAAGTATATTGAATACAAAACATTTCTGTCCCTTTTTTGTTGTGTGATGTATAAAAATAGACAACTTTATGTTTAGGAAATATTTAATCAGTTTTATATATGCATTTTTAGAAATGTCATCTGCTTCTGCTATCATTTTAACTCTGACTACCACAAAGTGTTAAGTACTCATTGTTAGATGCTTGTACAATGCTTCTTCACACTTATATTTATTTCATGGAGGTCTCATAATGTTTGTACACCTGAGAGCAGGACCATTTGGAGAAAATTCATGATTTTGATAAAATTAAAGACAAAATTGATCTTTTCCTTACTTGGCACTGGTTTTAGAGTCTGTCCGTGTTTTTGTCAGCATGCAGTATAACTGAGGTGGCAAAAGTGCTACATTTTAATGGCAGGCTAAAACTTGTGTGACACCCCATTACAGGAAAATAAAAAGCAAAACTACTTTTTTTTTAAGTAAGAAAGAAAAAGTAAGTGGGAAAGTTACACAAACTCAAGAACCTTGGGATAGGGGTGAGTATTAATGATAGAGGCATTGTTCCTGTGGAAACACTTGGTCTTGTTTGAGAGGCACATTGACAGCTTCCTGAGGATTTTTAGGGTTGGGTCATTGATAAGAGATTTATCTTTTTTTTTTTTTTTTGCAGTTAATAAGGCAGTTTTCATGGTTGTGTGGAGCATGGGCCTCACCTGTCTTTCCATTGGTCTACACACCATTTATGTTACAGAAATCTTTGGAGCTGACGGGACAAACAGTTTATGTGCTTGCAGAAGAAAGGGAGAAAAATGAATTTTCACTGATTGTGGTTTTGTCTACGATGCTCACAACTGGAAAATGCTCTAATTGAAACTCTGCTTCCCTGTAGTGATGCTGTATGGTGGAGAAAAAAAGGGGATGTGCCAAGAAAATGAAGTTCAGTAACAAGCCATATATTTAATGATCCTGTTAGGACTTTCCTAAGACTCTGCAATGCATCTACTGATGTGCTAGCATTTAGCACCCTGTTGGGCTTAAATGACTACTAACTACAGCTACTTTTTAGATATCTAATTACAGTTGTCAGCAGTTCCGGGGGTTCAGGGAGCTGTCCTGTGATACAGGATCTCCCCCCGTGTGATAGTGGTTTTTGAACTGTTGAGCATTAATTGTTTGTGGTGCCGAAGCCTGAGCAAAGCAGCCTGCTTTTATGGCCAAAAACTTCAACTAGCATCATCACCATCAACTTCACATTCTCTAAGACTTGATGGTAAACCCGGGCGGTGGGCTCACACATGAGTTTCTGAAGTTCTTTCTTTCTGCTGCGTGCACAAAAATGTTTGTTCCCAAATGGGGATTCATAGCACAGTTCAAAGTAGGCACAAAATCCACCTCTGTGCGCAAAGAAGGCAGTGCTTAACTAAGCTCTATGGGGTTGCAGCTAAACATGCTACATTTAACCATATACCTCCTGTTTATTATTTACTGCTACTGTACAAATTCCTAGATACAGGTGTTTTCTTCCTTTCCTTTTATAACTATGAATATCATAAATGTAGCTGTCCCTGAGTTACAGCAGTCTGTAGGAAGCCCCTTTTAATTACTGAAAGAAAACAGTTGTAGATAATCAGAGGTTTTGGGTCGTGTGGTCAAATTTACTTTCTCTTGCATGGTGCCATCCTAATATTTTGCAATTGTAATTCTGGAATACTGTGAAGTCTGATGAAGGTGTTGTCTGCCTTGAAAGCAAACATTATGCGACCTCTGGTAATAAATCCTTTTCCAGTAAAAAGTACCGAGTTTCTGGAGTAACTTAGTTTGTCAGAATTGTTGTAAATGATTGGTTTGTGAATTGTGCGGATGATCTTACCTATGCAGCCTTGTTTTTGACTTTTCTGGTTTGTACTGTTATTAAAAGTTTATTGTATTATAGAGCTGTTCAGATATTTTAAATATAAAGATGTATTGTTTCCATAATATAGCTATATGATATATGTTTAAGTAGTAGATGCATTAATTGGAAAGCTCTGCTTTGATAAACCGACAATTTGCCTACACTTATAAGCAAAAGTCACATTGCTTATTATTGGCTTAAGTCAACAGAGCGTCCCTAAGAAGAGAAGGTAAAATTGGACCAATTATAAAACAGTATAAAATTTGCACTTGTTAAACCACTGGATGTATGTTAGTACTTTTTTTATTTTTTTACTGATTTGAAATTCCTATTTTCATGATGAAATTGCTAGGATCCTTAATTTATGACTGATTTTAAATAAGGTATTCTCATTATTATTATTATTGTTTTGGTAATCATAATGTAAGATGCAGCATGGTTTATGCAAACAGAAAGCAAATTACTTGGCATTAAACCTGGCCTCCTTTTCGAGGGTGTTCCACAAACCAGCAATATCTGGAGAGATTGGCATGTACGTACCGCTAGCTCTACTTGCGAGTGGCGTGACAGCTCTTCAACGCTCCACTGCTCTGACTTAGTCACACAGCAGAATTGAAATTCAAACGTGGATATTTTCAGAAAAGTGCCTGATGTACTTTTACAGACACACGAGAACAATCCCTGACAGTTTGTTGTATAAAGCCATAAATGTATATAAATTATGTTCAAAAGGTTTTGTGTCCTTTCTTGTATACGGAGAATGAGATTTGTACCAGGATTCTACTTGTGATTAGTAATCCTTCTGCTCAGACGTTGTCGTAATCACTTTCCGTACCGCGTAATCTTTTTAATGATGATGATCCCATTTGGACAATCTTGATGGCATTAGCAATTTTATGTGGAAAAATACCTCATGGTACCCAGTCTTGTCTGACAAGATGATACCATATTAACAAGCAAACACTAACTGCAGAATAGTTAGACAAATTTTCCATTACTTGGTATAAAGGAATTTGTCTCAGAATTACTTCTGGAATTGGAAGTGTGGCAGGTACAGGAACCTACTAGGGCTGTGTTACAAGTGTTTTATCACAGTGTGCTAAATGAAACTTGTTTACAAGTCTTTGAGACTAAACGCAAGAAGAATCCATGCCTGACTCTTAGTGCTCATGAGAGATTTTGTGTAGAGGCACTTTGTTACTGGAAGCTGCATTGCGCAGCACAGACCTGGTTGCCAGTGCTTCAGCAAGCCTAGTTCAGAGAAAATGGCAAAAAAAAGTCCTGAAATCCTTTTGGAATGGGTATTTGTAAGTATAAGCTCTTAATAAAATTGCTATGACATGAGATGGTAACTAGTGTATCAGAATGTTATGTAACGCATTGTTAAAGAAGAAAAAACCTGGGAACACTAGCCATCCATCAGACTGCAGGAAAAATTAGTCTTTTAAGTCCAAATTACATTAGATCCTAACGCTATTAAAGCGGGAGGGAGCCGGCTCTAGAGAGCCATTTTTCTCTTTTCTCTGCCTCTTCCATTAAAGTGAGACACTTCCCAAAGGCCTCTTGGCCCTTCTCCCTCGTTTCTGCCTCTCACTTCCCCTTCCTTCCCAAAGTTCGTGCTTTCCCTACAAGTAAGAGTTTCTATGCCGAAAGTTTGTGCCATGTAGGCCAACCTGCATGCTGTTAAACTCTGTGGGAGCGCTGACGTGAGTGGAGAGAGCAGGAACATCCAATTTTTAATTTTTTTTTTTTTAAATTTAGATTGTGTTTCAAAACAGAGCTGGAAGAAAGGAGGAGAGGCTGCCAAAACAGGCAGCCAACAACACCCACGCCACCATAGTCTTGTGAGGCCCAGATCCTGGCTTGCCTGCAGGTGGGGAGGGAGAGGGCTGGTGGAGAGCTGCTTCCAATGAATTGCTGGCAAAAAATGCCAGTTTGATCTTAAAGTGAGCATAGGTAGACCTAAGGAGAGTGAGAGAACGCCAGCGTACTGCTGCACATAAAACCAGGCGACCTGAAGATATTTAAAAAACGATTTTCCCTTGTACTTTACGACGGTATTTTAGCTTTGCCTCTTTTATTTTTGCACGCTAGGAGAAAAGCATGGAGTGGAAGGTGTCTTCACTGGTGTTCCCAAAAGCCTCACTTCTGAAATGAGAAGACAGTTAAGATCCAGAGATACACTGAGTGTTTGCAAAGCCAACACTTCCAAAGTTGTTGGAAAGGATGTGCATCTAATTGGTACATGAGTAGTTACTGCTGTCGGGAGAGATAGTCAAAGCTTGTCTCTTGGGAAGGGACTGGCTAGCAATTTGTGCCAAGCTGGCAACAAGGGATTTGAATCTGCTGATCAAGCATACAGACCTCAAAGCATCCTTGTGCTCTGAGTCAGTTCTGCATCAATGTAATAAACATGTTTTTGTGCGGAAACATCAGCCTTTCTGTCATGTCAATTGATAATCCAATTAGAAGTACAAATAGCCTTAGATGTTGCAGCTGGCTGTAGTGCAGCTGGTGTGCAAAGATGGGTTTTTATGAACACCCTGAGAAGGAGAAACTTGCACGGAGCAGTGCCTGTGGTCATGACCACTGCTGGAATTGCATGCAAATCCCTGTTCATTACCTGCTTATGTTTTGCCTGGGGTAACGTTCTGGCATATGCCAAAATGATAGCTAAAATGAAGAGGCAGGGACAGCGCCCCATCTTATTTTATTTTATGTTTTTCTACTTGCTGTTGGACCCTGAGGCATTCAGAATTTTTGCATGTGTTTTTTTTCTTGCGAGTAAACTTCTTGCGGGGGTGATTATCACTGCAGTGGTGGGAAAACGGATGAGGGCTTTGAGTACATCAAGAGGAGCACTGTAGGAAACTGATGGGTATAGGGCTATGGAGTGAAGAAAGAGGCAAAGAGACGGTCTGTAAATTGGAGCCTCAACATTTTACCTCCTTGCTGTGTGCAATCTAAAACTGCTTTTGCCATCCGTCAACACAAAGGTCTTTCCAAACAGTTGTATTTCCTTCTCAGTGCCCTAGAGTGATGTTACCTGAGCAGGCAACTGCACAGAGCATGCACAAGAGCTTTGCTGCATTTCCAGGGAACTGTGGAGTTTGGCAGGGATGTGTAAATTGCTTATGAAATATTCAATCCCTTCAATTTTGCTGAAGCCAGGGGATTGTATCTCAGCGTGACCATTACAGAAGTGCATGTATGTGAACTGCAGAGGAGGGGGGGGATAAGAATTTTGGCAGGTATTCTAAGCACTTTCCTGGCTGATGGAGCAGGGTAAGGGAGTCTTTCAGAGGGCAGAGGATTGCTCTAGGGTGGAAGGCTCAGCTTAGCGGGAAAAGAGCTTCCTTTTGGTTGGAGTTTGAAGTTGTGCTCAGTAGCAGCCACAGACTGCACAGTCTCCTGGGTCGATTTGTTGCTTGGGTCTTTCTCACCAGCTGAAAACAAAAGATGTTCTGTGAAACCAAGAGCTGGAGTCTCATTTCAGGAGTCCAAATGTTACCACTTCCTGCTCCTCCCTTTCTTCCCCCTTTACTCCATCAAGTTAGAGCAGTTGAGAGGAGCATTTCTTTTTTTTTCTTCTTTTTTTTTCTTTTTTTTTTTTTTCCTTCCTGTCCCTTCTCAGAGCAGATGGGCTTCATAAGACCTTGTGTCCCTTCAACTCCAACTGTGATGGCCCATCTGCAGTAAGGATATTATCTGCCTCCTCCTTCAGCCCCCTCAACAGATCTATCAGATTAATAGCCAAATGAGCCCTTTCCATGGTTGACTCCAGGAGCCCTTTGAGGTGGGACATTCCATGGTTGACTCCAGGAGCCCTTTGAGGTGGGACATCTCCTCTGTCTCTGCTTCTTTTGCTAAAGGGTTCCTAAATTGAAAACAGGTAGTGAGGGAAGTGCTGGGAAAGGATCTGGACTTGGGGTTGGGTAGCCACTTCACTGTGGTCCTCTCCTATGCTACCTCAGTGTTCAGACCTTGCACTGGGCCTTAGTGAGCACACAGGGCTCCCACTGGATTACCTTCTGAGTAGGGTTTCTGCAGTCACAATGTTTTGTTCAGCCACAGGCTGGCTGCTCATGTAGATCCACGTGTCTGGAAACAGTGTAAAACAAGTGTCACTCGCCTGACCATGAACTTCTTGAGCGGTTGTTTGTCTTCATCACACCAGTCTTGGTGTGGTAGGTACAGCAAGCCAAGTGCCTGCTGGTGACCAAGCACTATGACATGTGAATGGGGCTTATGTTCACTCCAAAAATAATATTGAGCAATAATATTGAATATAATAATATTAAATATGTTGGACTCTTGTATAACTGCGGTGAGAGTTGTTGCTTAGGTAGGAATGACAGCCAGATAAACAGAATCATAGGATGGCTTAGCTTGGATGGGACCTTAAAGATCATCCAGTTCCAAAACTCCTGCAATGGGTAGGGCTGCCAACCAGTAGATCAGGCTGCCCAGGATGTAAAGTAAAAGAATGAGGATTCCTGTCCTTGCGAGGGGTCCTACCATGATCAGAGGAGCTGGGTTTGACTTCCACTCAGAGTTACTTCACAGAGCGTGTGACAGTTGGCAACATTTTGAAGTGATGGGGCAAACAGCAGCCATGTCTCATCCGGAGCGAGCTGTGCTTCACAAATGTGGCTGTCGGCAAGCATGAAGACAAGTGTGGTCTGTGTAACCTGTATAGTTTTCCCGTGGCTTTGGGAATTTTCCTCAGTCAAGTTCCTGTGAGAAATGGGACATAATGGAGGTCCTCTCAGTGCCTACAACTGCTTTACAGAGTTAGCCATCTGAGTACAAGTAGTACTTGGCTTTTCCACACTGGGGAAACTACAACTGCCTTCTCTCGAAGACCTGAAGGAGCTTTGCTGATCAATGAGTTAGAAAAGTGATCACCTGGCATGTTTGATGACCTAAATTACATTACTGAGTACACCATTATACAGGACAGTGAAATGTGAGGCTGTGCCAAGAATTGCAGGAGGATATTCTATGACTATGTGAGAACAGCAGATATGATTGACTGTCGGTAATTGTAAAATAATGCTCAAGGGAGAAGGAAAAAGAAAGCCAAATACATTAAGATGCTTAATGAACCCTGAATGAGCTTCTACTACTTTGAGAACAACCTTGGTGTCATTGGAAGGATTTCTTGAAAGTCTTGGCTCACTGTTAAGCTGTAGACAAAAAGATACGACAGAAATGAGTGGGGGACAAGGATTGAAAACCTCTGTCGTGCTACTCCACATGTAAATTGCACCTGCATCATAAATATTGCATGCTGTTTGACTTTCAAAGAGCATACTGTGGGGCTACAGAGACTCAGAAGCAGAGACTAAATAGAAAAAAAGATGAGTGAAGGCGGGTATAGGTGCATGAGATGGTAGAGATATGTAAAATTATGGATGCTATGGAGATGAAAATAATTCATCATTATTTCTCAGGGCACAAACAGGGGTATCCAATGAAAAGATCAGGCAACAGGTTTGGAATAAAGGGAAGTACTTTTTCACCCAGTACATAATTACGTTTTGTAACTCATTGCCACGGGATGTTGCAAAGGCCAAAAGTTTAAATGGATTCAGAATATGAATTTATAGAAGCTAGGTCCATCAGTGGCTATTAAACACAATGCTCCGGATGCAGCCTCTAGCTCAGGAAGTCTCTAAATGACCAGTTGCTGGAAGCATGTACCAGGGAAGGGATTACTCAGTCCATGGC